TATCCAAGAGAAAGCTATTAAACTGAAATTCTATGCTAGTTTTTAAAAGCAAAACCCATTGTATCTTTGTATCAGAGTCAATCGATCAGTAACATCCATGTGTAAATTAAACTTTGGCGTTAGCTGAGCCATATGATTGTCATGTAAGTAATATACCTGTTAAGTGGAATACACCGAGAAATTTGAGTGATAGATTTCTACCTATTTTATTGGTCAGCCCTAGTGAGACACTGATTGTTGTTATAATATCTTGATGGTTTTGATCAATATTATAATTTGAGGATTATTTGTTTATTCTAAGGTAAACAGTAATTATGGAGTTCTTCTAACAGAAAATGGAGTTTACTCAAACTGGATAGATCAGACAAATAACATTATTTTAAAGTTAACATTACACACACAACTGAGAGAGAGAAAAAAGGACATTCAGGAAAGCTCTAATACTCGCTGCTGTTTGTTGTAACGTGTTTGTCACGTTTGTTTTGCATCTGAGTGATTGAAACATTTGACTTAAAGTTGCCAGATAGCTGGTACGAACTCTCACTATGTCTAACCGAATCCATCCAGCTGCCTAGATAATTTCAGTTTGATTTTGGTCAAAGGATCTCAAAATAGATTAACTTTAACTGGAAATCCCGAATTATTCACCTTTCTCCTATCAGACAAGCATGAAATTACCATAATGGCTGTCAAACTCATAAACAGATCATACTTTTGTTTATGGTGACAGGGGATGTGAATTGGGATGCTAGCTCAGTGGTCAAAGGGTTGCATGTTTACACGAGGCCGACTTTCCTGCATTCGAAATCCACATGCGAGATCGTGTATAGGCACTGCTAAAGAACCCCATACTAGGATGAGACGGCCGTTCAGTTCTCCCAGATTCTCAATGATGGTCTAGTATTGACTGCCTCATGGAAATGAATAATTAAGACTAACTTGCTCGATTACATCTATACATTTAGCCAAACAATTAAATTTTACACTGTTTTGTTATTAATCTCCTCATTTTAAATGGTTAATTTATTCTAATTGGTTAATAACAACAGAACATGAGTCCTGTTTCTCGTTGCAAAATGTATATGTTCATTATTGTCATTATTATTATCATAAATTAATTGAACTTAAATGTTTCATTTGTTTGTCCCATCATATTTAGGTTAACAAAACAATAGCATTTCAGACTGTATCTGTTAGAATAGATTTACCCTGCTTCATATGATCATTTTTGTATAACTTCGTGTATACATTTATGCGCATGAGCATGAATTACTTTCATTCATTGAGTTAGAGTATATCATGATTTATTATATTTGAAATGAAAAGATGCCTGTTTCAAACTTAAAATTTTTTCGATTAGTTCTCTCTCTTTCTCTGTGATGTGTGGATCTTTGAAAAAGAATAAACTTTGTCACTTATTTTAGAGTACTCGAAGACTACACGTTTCAGCCTTACTCGGCATTTATCAATACAAATTGAAAATTCTTATATAACACATATTGTCTTTTACTGTTTCTCAATATTATTTTCTAGGCTTTTCAGAAGTGATTTCGGTGTGTTGTGAAGAGTGATAAAGGTAACTAATATGGTATGTGGTGCATAGTTTGCTACCATCGTGAATACCGTTGTGGACGGGTATTTAAAATCTCGCAAACTACTGGCAAGTGTTATCAAATACTGAACATCCACTCTTACATCTTTCTCCTTGTATATCTTCTGGCAGAATGAAACGCAGATACATTAGGATATATTCACGCGAACACAGTACAAGTGCTCTTTAAACAACACCGTATCTAGCACACATATCATGTGACAACCAGACTTTAAAAACAGACTTAACCAAAAAAAGTATACTCTTAAACTTGTTAATCATTCACTATTTAGGTTTTTATTTACCGAAAAAATATTTGGCGAGACTATAACTTGTAGATGAACTAATCAGATTTGGAATATAAGGTCTTGGATTTCAGCGCGAAATTCATTTATTCATTTGGCAAAATAACGTTTTGGCATTTTAGCTGTTATCAGTTCATGATGAAAACCCTAAACCTTGTTCCTAACCCTAACTATCAACTTTAAATCATCATTTTGATTCCTTACACTGATTTATAACCTTCAATTAGTCCTAGTTAGTAGGTGGACATCCTCAAGGTCACTTTAGCACCGCTCAAAGGTTGTTCATAAATTATAATTATACCAAATATTCCATCATGTTTTATATAATTTGATTTATCTTTTTTGCATATATATATATATATATATATATATATATATATATATACTGGGAAGAAATCAACAAAGTGAATCACGAAGCGAGCACTAACTTGGAACCCTGGAGCGAGACTAAAAAGAGGAAGGCCAGAGAACACACTACGTAGAAAATTGGAAGCAGACATGAAAAGGATGAATAGCAACTGAAGAGAATCGGAAAGGATTGCCCAAGACAGAGTTGGATGGAAAATGCTAGTGAGCGACCTATGCTTCTCCATGAGAGGTAACTGGTGTATGTATGTATGTACAGTCCAACTTAACTCAAGGAATATGTACTGTAAAAACTACACGATCAGCCAAGTTTATTTAAAATTGATAACTAGACAGAAATGTATGAGTTTCTTAGAATTCACTGAATTATTTGATATTGTCAAATATTCAGTGAATTAAATAATTTATCCTATATGATATAAACTGTTTGTAGTCTAGATAAAAATAATCTAACGAATGATATTATGTTTTAAATGAGTCGACTGGTATGATCAACTGATCCTGGTCAAATGAACTTTTTCGTTAACGCACTTAGAGTCAATGAAAACTTTACTCAGAAGAAAACGATTAAATATTCATCATAAGTAGTTTACACTTTAATGTGTTATTATTAAGGCTTCTAGCGATTTGTTGACTTAATGGTTAAGGCATTTAACATTCAGCCACTATATTGAACATTCTAGTCCCTTTGTTTCAACTTCAATTTAATCGGATGGATAATATCACTATTCCTCATACATAAAGTTTGACTTCAAGAGGAGTTCATGAATCTAAATTTGAGTTGTCGCATCATCAGTAGATCTATTTATACATCCATATTAATACCATTTTCTTCTAAGTATTATAGAAATGATTCTAATAACTCACTTTTAAATACAAGAAATATACGACAATGTTGTAGAAGTACATTACTAATGAAAACAAATACTAAGTCTATAGTCAATCATTTTTAGTTTATCTCTACTGAAATAATTTATCTAACAATATTTTATTGATCATACATTTTCGTCAATTTTGAATATAATCAATCTCGCGCGCAAACGCGCGACACTGAAGGCCATGGGTTCGAATCCCGCGAGCGGGATCGCGGATGCGCACTGCTAAGGAGTCCCACAATAGAACGAAACGGCCATCCAATGTTTCCAGATTTTCAGTGGTGGTCTCACATCAATCGGTTCATGATCTTAATCAAAAACTGAACAATCTCCACAACCCTCAAATTGATAAAATACAATTTCTAAAAATGATCACCTTGGAAAACAACTTTATGCTAATTTGTGTAATTGTCGGTATGGGATTGTGAAGATTATAAATTTCATTGAAATTACGAACCATTGAAAACTTGGAAGCACTCACAATTGATTGATCACTGGGTGGTGATCATTGTCATGTGTGTCGAGTCTTTCTCAGTGCAGATAGAATAGTACCGACCAAGTTGCAATGTGTCCACTAGTCTAGGTGACTAGATATTGCGTGCACTATGTTGAGATTAGATGGTGATTGGAGGTACACCTTGCTGACGAATGCCAAGTAGCACAAACCCGGGTCCAGGGTTTCCTGTTGACTGCCTCCAACCACCATCTAACCTGGAAGCACTGCATAGATGTTTCGTTCTAATATGAGACTCTTCAGCAGTTCATATCCATGATTCCACAAGGAGTAATCGAACCCCGTACCTTCAGTCACGCGCTGAGCTTAAGGCCGAAGGTACTGGATTCGATTATCAAGTTGTGCACCACAATATTTAAGTGAATTCTTCCTTATTATCTTATTAGTAAAATTTGAAATTTAATTCAAGTTCACTTAAGGTTCATATTTTACTATTGTGTACAAAACGTCAATAAGTTAGTTGAATTGGCGATTTCGGTTCTATGTTATCTTCCGTACGAATAGTTCTAGATATTTTGTGGATAGGCTTCTAAACCACAGTTATCGTTATCAGTATACGTTTGAATCTTTTGGAAATTTATAAAGTATTCATGTTGTAGTTGCAAGAATTCATTCTACCCTTAACACTATTTATTATCTTGGCCAATGTAGAAATAACTCGAAATAAAACTAGGATCGATTAAACCAAGATACGGATTCCATACATGAAACTACTAATTTTTGGATTAATTCCTCTTGATGCTTACTGACTTCATGTGACAACTGTGATTAGTGTTTATAACTGTTCAATAAAATGGGTCAGAACCGATTTCACTAGTACAAATGCACGCACTCTTTATATTTCCACTAGATTGTAAGCTTCTTTCATTGATACTACTGTTGTTTTAACTCCCATTCTATCCATCTTGAAGATTTTGTGTAACTGTACCAATGATATATGACAACTAGGGGTAATGAACGCTTGCACAAAGCTCTAAGCTCATGATATCTCACCGATTGCCATAATACCACAATTTAGTAATCAAAATATAATAATCATAACGATCATATTTCATAAATTGTTTCACGAAAATGTATTCTAATGATCTCTTGTTTTCCACCAAACATACTGCTCAGGTAAAACGTCTTATATTCTATCATAAAACACATAGATTATATAGTGTATGCCTTGAAATAATGATTACTGTCGAATAAACACAGTGAAAATCAGAATGGGTTTTGTGGAGAGTTTTTTAGGAATTTCATAGGTACTAGGACGAAACGGCCGTCCAGTGCTTCCAGGTTTTCCATGGTGGTCTAGCTTCAATCGACTCATGATTTCAACAGTGAAAATCAATAATTAAGCTTACCTCATCAATATTAGTTTCCTCTATAGTATGATTTAAACTCGGTTTGTTGATAATACGGTGATAATTAGAACCATTCAATTTCTCTGAACTACTTGAAGAAACTTGTTTATTGAAAGAATTCACAGGATTAGTTTGCGTTGTTATTGGTGAAGACTGATCCATATTTGTTGCTTGTTGGCCGATGCGTATGTATTTATGCCCAACTGATAAGCTTAATATAACTTGCTCATTGTTATCCATTGGAAATATACCTTCAAGACGACTGACAGCAATACGTGTATCATCTGGTAAAATAAATTCACTGGCATATTTTCGTGTAATACGTCGGCTCAGAAATGCAAGAGAAGAGGTAATATCTGAGGTAGTTTCCTTATAATTGAATTGTTCGAGTCTTTCAGGATCACACCATGTTGTTGATAAAGTGTCATCATCAGGAGACGCTTTTTCAGCCCTACTACCATCATCTTCATCGCCATCATCATCACTATCACTATTGTCCTCATTGTCCTCTTCATTAATTGTTGTATCATGTAATGTATCAGAATAAATGTTTTTCAAAGATGATTTGAACTGACTTCTGTCTTGATTCATGAGGTTATTCATTTCGTGTTTTAAAGGTGCACATATTATCATGTTTAAAAGTCATATTTTGCGAAAAATTACATTGAGAATCAAACTGTACTATAATAGTAATTTATATTAACTTGTATTTACACTGAGACAGAACCTTCAGACTATCCTATCTTGTCATGACGACTACTAAAATTCAAATTAGTTAATCATGATTATTTCCTGTTTTAATAGGCTAATAATATCACTAAATATAATTGGTTGATTGATTCAACCAATAGAGTTTCAAACTAGGAACTTTCACACATTTATTGCCTAACTGTCATGCGTTAAAATAACTAAATGCATTTTGCTTTGATATTTCGATTAATGTAAATTTAATTCGAAAGTACTCGTCAATGAATTAATTTCCACTTGTTGGAGATCGATGTCTTAGTGTATTTAGACCATTTCACTCTAAAAACAATCAGGTCAGAATTTTGCTATTGAAATATTTCAACTCTCAGTAATCTATTATACATCACATTTTGAACCTGTTTGAGGGAAAATTTATTCAGAAGTCAAAGAAGAATAACTGTCAGTCTCTAACGATTTGATAAGTAGATTTTAAACAGTAGTGATATTACTCTATTGCGCCTTGAGATTACATCATATATACACACTCGACGTCAGTTATTTCTCAATAACGGTTAAACAAAATTCTGAATTCCCCACAGATTGACTTTAATCAGGATAACAATGAAAACCACTGAGCAGTAGACAGCTTTTGTACTAGTATGGGATTCTCCAGCTGCAAGCACCCAGCACCCCACCTATATCGGATCGGGGAACTTTTGGTCTCACAACAGAACAGCCAGTGTAAAATTTTAAAACTGATCTCCATAAAACCCATTCAAATAAAAAGAGACATTGATAATTTAACAGCGACTGATTTACTCGACTGTGGTATCTCTCTAATGATACATATCAAACATATATCTTTAACACTTTCCAAACAAAATTATTTGCCATCAAAACCGTTTAAGGTGTCATATGCTGTGAATTCGGAGGAAATTATCCGTTTCAAAGACAAACTAACAACTGTCACTACTTTTTATTTAGTATACCTTTAGCTGGTGATAAATTCTGCCTGAGTTATAATGAAATGTATTCAATAAACCTGTTTTTGATCCTTTGAAATAAAAACATACCCAAAACTGTAATATTCCGGGTGTTTTCGTTGAACGATCCTCACTTACATCTCAGGAACTCGCAAAATTATATTAAATTGCGCGATAACCGAAAAACGCGCAACACACAGGGCATCAAACTAATCGACATTTTCTCAGCCTTCAAATAATAATAATAATAATAATAATAATAATAATAATAACAAATGTGAAGGTGGAAAGATAATTAAAACTTGTAAGCGATCTGTCATGGTGAATCGTGTATGTGTGCAAACCGATAAAATACTCACTTTCAATTAGATTTTATAACCGTATTTTGGTTGTATGGCGTCAGCCGGGTTTTATTACATCATTGATATCATTGTTGTGTTTATTATCATTCTCAGTAGTTTATATTTGTTGACATCATAAGTATTTCTCAGTGATCTCTTTAAACGTATTGTTTATAGACTTTCAAACATATATCTATTGTTTAGGAACTTCTCATTTTATATTACTTTTTAATTAAGTTATTCCGTCTTATAATCTTGTATGTTTACAGCTTATAATGAATAAAATCGCTGAGGAACTCAAGAAAAATACCCCATTGAATTATCATCCTTCTCTACTCTTTGAAAAAAATAGAAGCTGATTACTATATAATTCATGCATCGAAATATATTCCGGTATAGAAAGAGATGTTACACAAGCCTGACTGATGGTAAACACTTGCGCATATACAAAAATGGTAGTTAATCATTGTTTATTCCAAAGTTAAATGTTCATAAAACGGGATTATTGTTTTAGTATTGTACATTTTTTACTAGAAATTCATCGCTATAATGAAACATTTAGTATCCGGTAAAGTATTAGTGTTATTACCAAGATTATTGCTAGCCCACTTCTTTAAAACGTTTCTATACATATTAAAGCGTAGAATATCCTATCTGTTTAGCAATGGAATTCCAAATACACTTGTTATTCTATAGAAAACTTATGAGTTAAATATACGTGCATTTGGGTGATTACTGTAGCTGGTCACCATAGTCCTGAATAACAACGGAGATGGGGTTCAAACATTTATAATAAAAAAATATAACAATGATTTTTAATTACTCTATAAACATTTTTGGTTTCTAGATTTAATCGATTCACTTGTAGGTTGCGTAATTTAAACGTCCGATTTTCTTCCTATGACACTGAGCATAATTTGATTTTATTCAAGTTGGATAGCGAGTAATAGTGGAATTCAGAAAGAGTATTTCGTTCAATTTGAAACTTGTCAGCTGAATGTCATGACACACTGGGTCATAAACTCAGTAACATTCACAGCAAAAGTCAGTGCGTTTGTTATCCACTAAGTTATTGAATTTAGATAGTTGCTAGTTTGTGAACTGTGTTCGAATTGAACGGCTAGGAAAATACAATCTCTCATATTTATCATTTATCAACCAATATTTACTTTCAAGTTAATTCATTGTAGTTATAGGCCACCTACAATTAGTATAAAGTTATGAAAAGGAGATTGTAAAAATAAAAACATATTCATACTATTCTGAAACTAATGCATTTCTTCCACAGAATCAGATTCATCAATAAAGCAAAACGTTTGAGATAGTAGTTTTATTAATAATTTAATAATATTAGTGATAATTATAATTGTCAATTCATGGAAACAAAACTATAGTTCCACATATGCTTTAATTTACATGACCTACATCATAGAGATAATTAATCTCTGCCACTACAATGGAAATAAACAATTCGATGGGTGAAGAAGTAAAAAATCACTACAATTTTACACACAATAACACATACATTATTAGGTTGGGTGGTTTGTGAGAAGTTTTAACAATTTCAAAGTATAGACTGTCTGTGAAGATTGAGTATTCTAACTTGGATTATAAAGTGACTATAGGTAGACGACCATTGCAAAAAAAGCACTAGACATCTGTTTTGTTCTAGCACACATCGATCCTATCTGGGATAGAGCTGGGAAAGTAGGGTGGTTACTCAGAAATGGGAATGCAAGACAACTTTTAGAAATGTGAACTGCTGAATGTCAACTTAGTAGTTTAAAGGCTGATAATCTGATAGAAGACTCTTTTGATTGAAGATGAGTGAAAGATAATCACCATTAAAAACACTTATAAAACATGATTTTGGCTGATTAAAGATTGGATGTAGGCTACAAAGAATATTTGTTCCATTATTCCACTCCTGAATCTGAGAATTCCTAACTTTGGCAAAACTCATGGGTAACATTTCTTACTTCAATCAATTCTGGAGATTACTCAACCATTTTTTAGTACTATCGCCTCACTTCCAACACAGTCGAACTCTATTGGTCAAGGTATCTCATTAGAACTTATAGAATAACCTATCTGAATTAGCTACTGGTAAACTCATGATTAATATTATTTTTATGAGGGGTTCATAGGGATTGTAAAATTCAACGATTCGCTTCTATAGAAGTTAGAAATGCTAAATATTGAATACAGACTCAGTCATCCGAAGGTTAAACGCTAGCGGCGAAACCTGAAGGTCTTATGACTTATCCCCAGTGAGGTTATGGATTCTCACTGATGACGAGTCTCATGCTAGAACAAAATAGCTGTCCAGTACTACATGATTTGTGATGATTGTCTAAGTATTATAATTTTGTGATGTAAAACATAAAATTCAGTCATCTTCTAGAGACCCTCATACTAATACTTACTATGAATTACATTTCCGTAATATTTTCGGGTTGGCTGGTAAATAATTAGAGAAACTGTTGTTTTAGTTATATTCAACAACAGAATCATTTCAGCAATATGAAATAAACTGAAAATTCGTCTTGAATCATAGATTTTCTTTGAGGCTATTGATAGAGAAGTAGGTTGAACTATTTTATCGATGTTATTTGTTATCTGGTTACATTTTCAAATGTTGCATAAGTTGAAATCATGAGTGAGTTTAGGTCAGACCATCATGGAAAACCTGGAAGCACTGGACGGCCGTTTCGTCCTAGTGTGGGACTCCTCAGTAGTGCACATCCGCGATCCTCCCCCCACAAGATTCGAACCAGAGACCATTAGACATTAACACCATTGGATGCCAGCCCAGTGGTCTAATGGTTAAGCGCCCGCGCGCTAACCTGTTAGGTCCTGAGTTCGAATCTTGCGGGGGCGGGATCACGGATGAGCACTGCTGAGGAGTACCATACTAGGACGAAACGGCCATTCAGTGCTTCCAGGTTTTCCACGGTGGTCTAGCTTCAGTTGATTCATGATTTCCACTACTGAAATTACTAAAACCTTTACAAAATCCCTTCTGTTGCATAGGTATTTAATTCTCTGGTTATAGTTAACTTCACGACAGCACTTATATAAAACGAAATTAAAGTATTAATCTATCGTACCTATTGAAAAGTAATATCAGATTTACAAAGCATACATGTAACTATTTGTGTACGTTACACTTTACTTTTCATTATGATGCATTCAAAGACAATAAAATATAGATTATTTCTCCAGCCTTTATACATCACTTTGAGAAATACTCGTTTTACTGAATATTTTTTTTAAAAATAGAAGGTTGCAGGTGTGATTATGTAAGTGAAATCAGTAACTGTGTTTTGTTTCATTTCGTGAGTTACTACGTGGGCACGCAATTCATCGAATAATTTATAATTTCCCATCAAATTCTTAGCATTGTGATCTTTTGAATTTGTTTACTGTCAAACGTTTTAGGCATAACTGACAATTTGTACCATTCAAGCTGCACAGACATAAAAATAAATTTGTGGAAATAACTTAATCACACTATGTGATGAGATTGTTTCGAATTTTTTATCACCTTTTCTCATGGTATTGGCTTTGTAAAACATTATGTCTTTGTGGGCTTATAGAGTATTGTGAAAACTGCGATCAT